GCACCCAGGCCCTGAGTTCAAGCCCATGACTAGAAAGAAAAAAAAAGAAAAGCTAAGGACTGGGAATGTTGTTTGCCTAGCATGCACATATGAAGCTCAATACCACATAAACAGAAAAAGCTGGAAGTGGCACTGTAGCTTAAGTGGTAGAGTGCTATCCTTTAGCAAAAGAAGCTCAGGGACAGTGCCCAGGCCCTGAATTCAAGCCCAAGACTGGCAAAAAAAAAGAGCTAAGCAAGAGCCTGAGGCCCTGAGCTCAGGCCTCAGTACAGGCATACACAAAACAGCTTTGGGGGGCTTATACCAGACCTTCCCAAGCTGTCCTGTTATACTTCATTTTATTCTTCTTAAGCTCCTACTTCTACTCCTGCCCCTTCCTTGTCACTTCTCCTTTCCCATAATTCCTCAGCTCCTAGCTATGAGTGAGCATATAAGATTCCCAGGTACTGGAGATGGACACCAGGGCCTCCTACACATAAGGCATGGGCCTAGCAGAGGCTGAGCTTGGCCCTTTCCTTTCTGACCTGTTGGAATGTACAGTGGCCATTTGTTCTTTGAACTTGACTTTTCCTGTTCTTCAAGGTCTTTGCCTTCTCATTCTTGACTCTGTCTCTAAGGGGTATTTGGTAGGTTTTGCTTTGTTTTTATTCTGTGGAAGGGGAAAATTTATCTTCTCTGCTTTTGGATTCCTTCCTTACAGAGGATTAAGATAATCTACTTGCCCTTCTATCCTACCCCAACTATGCTAAGCTCTGCAAACAGTATGAACATACTTTGCCACACAATTTAGCCTTTGGAGGCCGAGAATTTGTCAGAAATCAAACTGGTTTTTAGCATCAGGTCTAGATGTGTTTTACTTTCTGTTCCAAAAGCTTGTGTGTGTCTAGGCCCATGATAATTACTCTTGAAAACATGAATCTATACGTTAGCAGACAGTTAACATGTCCCTAGATTATTATATGTATATTTATTTTTTTATTTTTTATTTTTTTGGGTCCGGTCATGGGACCTGAACTCTGGGCCTGGGCACTGTCCCTCAGCTCTTCAGCTCAAGGCTAGCACTCTACCACTTGAGCCACAGGGCCACTTCTGGCTTTTTTTTTTCTTTTTGCTTATGTGGTGCTGAGGAATTGAACCCAGGGCCTCAGGCATGCAAGGCAAGCGCTCTACCACTGAGCCACCTTCCCAGCCCTATATGTATATTTATAATAGGATACTATTGCCCTTTACCATTTTGTGTGTTTCATATTCTTCTCAACAGTCAAATCCCTTTGTAAGTATACAAGAAAACACATTCAGGCTCACATGTACATGCATACAAGCATATTCACCAAAGTTAGTATATGCAGGGGAGGATGCCAGGGATGGACAGTGAACTTGCAGTGTGGTACTAGAGGGAGGGGAGGGCTGAAAGGAAGGAGTAGATGAATAGAGAGAGGAAGTGGGGGAGAATGCAGTCATCATACTCAATGTCTGTCCTATGAAACCAGGACAATGAAATCTCAACACTAAGTACTTGTCATAAACTACGTTTTCCTGGAGAACTTCCTTCTACAGCTTTTCTTTTAATTTTATAGAAAAGGACAAGGAATTTTTAAATCTGACAACATTTCTACAATATCCATCCTAAAAGATGTGCTTTCAAAAGAAGCTACAAAAAGGAAAATTAACCTCAACATATCATACGGTAAAACAGAAGAACAAGTCAGTCCTTCTGATTTCGTGTAATAATAATGTTTCTGATGAGTGACATCTCTTTGTGCCTGGCCAACTTCTAGAGATAAATGAAGTCTCCGTCAAACATACTTTAAAGCTTATCCACCCAAAGCTGGAGTACCAGTTGCTTTTGGCTAAGAAAGTGCAGTTAATTGATGCTTTAAAAGTAAGTATGTGGGTTCTGAACTCATGATAGTTATTTAAGTAAGTCATATGAGACTTTTAATATTGTAATGTTTAATATTATAGTAGATTAATTTTGATGACTAAAGTTTTTTGTTGTTTCCTTTGACATAAGGAACTGCAGGTTCATGAGGGAAACACAAACTTTCTGATTCCGGAATACCGATGTATTCTAGAAGATGCGGATCACCTACAAGAAGAGTACAAAAAACAGCCCGCGCACCTTGAAAGACTCTATGGTTTGTGAACTGTTCAGTACTTGGCTGTATTTCTTTCTTTCTAGCTGTCTGTTTGTCAAGGATTGTGAAAGGAGCTGGGCAGACAGACAAGATAAAAATGAATGAGTGAAAAGCAACCTACTATACAGAATATTTCTGTACTTGGCCAAGCTAGTTTTAAATTTTAATTCTAAAAAAGATTGAAAAATGGCCAGGTGCTGGTTGCTCACACCTATAATCCTAGTTACTCAGGAGGCTGAGAGAAATCTGAGGATTGCAGTTCAGAGCCAGCCCAGGTGAAACACACACACACACACGCACGCACGCGTGCACGGAAGAAAAGTAGGGCTCAATTGATAGAGCTCTGAGCAAAAAAGAGATCAGGGACAGCATCCAGGCTCTGAGGTCAAGCCTCAGAACTGGCACCAAAGTAACTGAATAAAGATATGAAAATGAAAGCCGGGTACTAGTGGCTCACAGCTATTATCCTTGCTCAGTTGGGAGGCCAGCCATGGCACAAAGGCTGTATAGACTGCTTCACAACTCATAGCTGCATGCAGTGGTGTGACACTGTCACCCTTACTTCATGGGAGGCTCAGATTGGGAGGATCAAGGTTTAGATAGCATCAGGAAGGCATAGTCAGGGGCCTCATAGTTAAGAACACAAGTAGGTAGATTGAGAACCTAACAACAACAGCCCTCATAAAAAGGCCTTGCTGGGTGCCAGTGGCTCACCCCTGTAATCCTAGCTACTCAGGAGGCTGAGATCTGAGGATCTTGGTTCAAAGCCAGCCAGGGCAGGAAGGTCCAGTTAACTACCAGAAAACTCAAGTAGTAGATTACTAGCTTTGAGCTGAAGAGCTGAGGGACAGCGTCAGGCCCAGAGTTCAAGCCCCACGACCCACCGAAAAAAAAAAAAAAAAAGGCCTGGAGGTGTAGCTCAGTAGTAGAGTGCCTGAAGAGAAAGCAGCTTGAGGCTTTTCCTCTAAAACCTCAGTAGAGGGGCAGGGGAGGGAACTAATATTTTTTAAACAAAATTTAATAAATAAAGGCTATTTATATGCTGTGCCAGTTTTGCATTTGTGGTAAGAAGTTGGGTGTTTAACAAATTACTCTGGAAAAAAGTGAAAAAGGGAGGGGAGATAAGGAAGGCAGGGAGGAAAGAAGGGCCAGCCCCAGAAATGTAAGCCCTGTTATGCGTGACACAGCATTGATACCAGCTCCATAATCCAGTGATTATTTAACCTGAAAGATAGATGATTATTTAACCTGAAAGATAGGTGTTAGTACATGCGCATGTGCATGTGTGCATGCGCACACCTGTGGGTACCATAGCTCCACTTCCAGCTTTTTATGACTAACTGGAATTAAGAGTCTCATGGACTTTCCTGTCTGGGCTGGCTTTGAACCTTGATCTTCAAATCTCAGCCTCCTGCGTAGCTAGGATGCCAGCTATGAGCCACTGATACTTGGCTTTTTTCTTTTCTCCTTAACTTGCTGTTTAGGCTAAAGACTTCGCTGTTACATACCTAGTCAGTGACAAAACCAGCAGTAGAATTTCTCACCTATATGTGTGCATTCTGCCCTCTGATGACATTTTCCAATCACCAGATGATCATTTGCCAGCTGTCAACATTAATCCTTAACTACCTAAGGAGTGTCTTCTTATATACCCAGACTTACTTTCTCACAAACTGTATCAGTAACATTGAATGGCTTAATATTCACTATAAGAACAAGCTTTGTTTTATTGTTACAGTAAGTTTGATGGAACTAATCTTCCATCTATTAGTGATTCTAAAATCCAAAGAACTTTGAAAAATCAAAGTTTTTGTTGTTGTTGTTTTTAGTGTGTGTGTGTGTGTGTGTGTGTGTGTGTGTGTGTGTGTGTGTGTGTGCTGGTACTAGGGCTTGAACTCAGGGCCTTGAGCTCTAGCATAGCTGTTTTGCTCAAGGATGTAGTTCTGCCACTAAAGCTATACCTGCACTTCCGGCCTTTTTGCTGATTAGTTGATGATGAGTATCATGGATTTTACTGTCTGAGTTGGCTTTGAACCTTGATCCTCAGATTACAACCTCCTTAGTGGCTAGGAGAACAGTCAGGCATGAGCCACCAGCACAAGGCGTAAAAGCCCAAGTTTTTGCTTTTGTTTTTCCATAAATCATTTGGCAACAAAATCCAGCTTACATAACATGTGGATCTTTATTTTAGATTCCACTTAGTGCAAATATTCATCCACATATTTTATTGTGAACTGCTAGTATTTGTACTCTACTCCTCAATACAAATACATTGGTATATTACTTTTATTCTCTTTCTAAACTGTGGAAATTATTGGAATAGACCTTTTACATCAGAGTTTTAGATAAAGGCTCAGCAGTTTGAATGACTACCATTTTATGTCTGGAACACACAAAAGTGTGCTCTTTCAGCCCAGGACTTTTGGCTTTCAAGTCACAATAATAATTCAGAATAACCAGTGTGAATTAATGGCTTGTAACCAGTTGTTATCTGAATTAATGGCTTATATCCAGTCATTAGTTAAATATTATCTTGAAACTTGCCTTAAAATCCCTTACAGATATTTCTAAAGCATAGATGCTTTTAGGTTTGTGTATCTTTAAGGAATTTCAGACTGATTGTCAAGGATTCTGATTTCAGAATTGATTGTCAAGGAATTACTTGCACTAAGTAGTATGTCATTAAAGGAATTAATGAAAAGAACTAATGTTTTTTTCTTTATAGGTATGATCACTGATCTTTTCATAGACAAATTTAAGTTCAAAGGAACTAATGTGAAAAGCAAAGTACCTCTTCTGCTGGAAATTCTTGATAGTTACGATCAGAATGCACTGGTTTCTTTCTTTGACTCAGCTTAAAAGATGCATAAGGTAAGGTCCCATAGTGTGATCAGTTCAACAAGAAGATGTTTAGGATCTGCAGAATTACAAGGTAACTTTTAATGTGCAAAAATACTTATTGCTGGGCTGGGAAGGTGGCTCAGTGGTAGAGCGCTTACCTTGCATCCACGAAGCCCTGGGTTTGATTCCTCAGCACCACATAAGCAGAAAAAGCTGGAAGTGGTGCTGTGGCTCAAGTGGTAGAGTGCTACTCTTGAGCTGAAGAGCTAAGGGACAGTGCCCAGGCTCAGAGTTCAGGCCCCACAACCGACCAAAAAAAAATTTTTTTTTAAATACTTGATGTGGATCCTGGTAGTATACATCTATAATCTTAGCAGTTGGAAAGCTTGAATTACCTAGCCAGTTTGAGGCCAACCTAAAACATAGTGAGACCCTGTCACAAAAATAAAATTTTTTAAAGTTGAGGTATAAGGTCTTTAAAGCTGTCCCCCCCCTCTTTTTTGGTAGTACTAGGGTTTGAACTAGGGTACTCTACCACTTGAGCCATACCTCTACTTCTCGGATTCTATTTCTTTTGACAGATATGACTTTAAAGAGAACCTTAATTTTTGAAATGAATGGAATGATTATAAGAGGTATTGTGGCAAATGGATACTTTAATTTGCGCATAGATAATATTTAGAAAATAGGAATTATACATCCAGTTTTCATAAGATATACATCAATGTGTAAACTGCAGATTTAAAATAAAATTTGGGGGATATTTCTGGGGAGAATTGAACTCAGAGCCTCCTGTTCTTCCTCATCTTTCTTTCTGGCTGGTATTCTGCCTCTTGAACCCTGTTTTTCAGTAGTTATCTGGAGATGGTGTCTTGAAGACTTTTCTGCCCAGGCTGGATTCAAACTGGGATCCTTTGATCTCAGCCCCCTGAGTGTCTAGGATTCACACATGATCTCCAGTACCCAGTTTTTAAAATGTTTTTCAGTTTACAGATTACCTTATTTAATCTTCACAACTGTTCTGTAAGTTTGTCTAATTATGTAAGAAAAGTGATTCTCAGTGAAGTTAATGTGATTAAGAAGACATGCTACACTAATATTTTAGAAAGCTGGAACCAGAGACCAGTGTTAGTATCCTGAATTCTTATGTCATCAACCCCTGGAAATAATCTTGCAATTTTTCCCCCCTAGGAGTTGGAATTTGTCTGCTTAGTGACATTTTGTGACTCTACTGAAGTTTGTGAAATGCTTGACCCAGCTTTAGTGCTATGTCACGTAGCCAAAGAACTTTCTCTGACAGCATGGATTATACAAGTGACTATGCTGGCTCCTGAGATTTTTCTTCATATAAGTATCTACTGGCTTCCTTGTCATTACATAAGAAAGACAATCAGACTTTGGAGCTATAGAAGTTGTATTCATCAATTTCTTATTTATTCATTTTCGGGGGAATTAGGCTTTTAATGGCTTAAGGATAACGGAAAATATGCTATTTCTATTCAAGAAAAGTAGACTCATTCCTTTTTCAGAGACCAATGATTCTTAATTATATGTTATATTTTTGTATGTATGTTAATATTAATGTAATTGAATGTTAAATTAAAAAAATTAAAGGCACATATAGTTGACTTTTATTTTGATATGGTCATATTTATTTGCAACGGAGTTTCTGGCGATTGAGTCTAAGGCCTTTGTCACAAAAGCACGAAGCCTTGTTTTCATTATATTAACCACCATTCTTTCCTAGATTCAGTGTGTACTTGTGTGTGTACTGGTCCAAGGGTGCTGCTGTCTCTTGGCTTTTTTATCCAAGGCTGGAGTTCTACCAGTTGAGCCACAGATCCACTTCTGGCTTTACTTGGTGGTTAATTGGAGATAAGAGTCTCTTGGACTCTCCTGCTCAGACTGGCTTTGAACTGGGATCATCAGATCTCAGCCACCCGAGTAGCTAGGACTACAGGTGTAAGCCACCAACACCTGGCTTTCACTGTGTACCTTTTGTTAGCTGCCACAGCTAAGAGAAAAAGAGAAAAGTAATGACTGTTTAACTTAATGTAGACTATATTGTTTTTGATGATCCTGGGATTTAAACTCAGACCCTTGTGCCAGTTGCTTTATTACTAGACCCATGTCTAGTGATACATTGTTATATATTAATAGTAGTTTAAGGTGGCATCTTAAATTGTTATCTTCATTAGAAAAAGAGAAAAGGCATAACCCTGTAATGTAGCTCGGTGCTAGTGTGTTTAGTATGTGCTAAACTAACACCATACACACAAAAAAGCCTAAGACACACATTGTCTTCTAAGTAAACAGTTGCTACTTGCGAATGTGAGCAGCGTATCAAATCAGTTATGTACATTATTCCCAGCAACCACCTGATTAACAGACCAGATAACTAACTGAGAATTGGGTGGGCACCAGTGGCTCACGCCCGATATCCTAGCTATAGAGGAAAATACACACACACGCTGGGGATTGAGTCCAAGGCCTTTGCAGCTCGAAGGGTTGCAGTTCGAAGCCAACCGGGGCCGAAAAATCCATGAGACCATCCCCAATTAACCACCAAACAGTCGAAAGTGGAGCTGTGGCTCTGCGGCGGAGCACCACTCTTGAGCACAGCAGCTGAGGGACAGCGCCCAGCCCGGCACGCGCGCGCACAGCCACAGCGCTGCGAGCAGTCATCTGGCCAGGAGTTCATGGCACTCCGGAGAGCAAGCCAGTCCACCGGCGGGCTGTCCAGGAGTTCCTCCAGCTCTCCGAGGCGGACGCACAGAGAATGAAATGGGTCAGACCAGGCCGAGTCACTGCCTGCCACCCTGGCAGCGATCGCCATTGGCTCAATTTAAAAATCGCGAGAAGTCGGCGCCCGCGTCTCCCCGCCCTTTCCCTCCCGTCTGGCTCGGGTCCGTCCCGCCCCCTCGCGGCCTCCCAGGCCCGCCGTCCCGTCGCCCCGATGACGCCACGGACCCGGGCCGCTGTCATTGGTCCATTTCAATAGTCGCGGGATACTTGAACTGCTCGAACAGCCGCCGCTCCGGCGGGCTGCTAGCTGCATCGCGGGGCGTGTCTGCGTCTCCGCGCCCCGCAGCGTCTGCCCGCACGTTTCACGGCCTCCGCGGTCCCGCACGGGCCCCAGCCGGGCGAGCACACGGGCGGCAGGCTGGCTGGGCCTGCG